AAGATATTTTTTAAGATGAGTTAAAAAAAAGAGTAATGACTCTCCAAATAAAAACGGAGAGTGTGTTCACCTCATTTGAACTAAGAATGTAGGTGTAGGTGAAGATTTTAGCACATAGTTGAAATAAAACACAGCCCACGCAACACAGCTTAGGATGTGTTTCGCAGCCCATCATCAACGTATGACTGTTGAGAAACACACGTCTTGAATGCACCAGGCAGTCGGTCGTCTCCAGAGCTAACTATGTAATCTACTCTTGTGGAAATAGCTTTGACTGAGTTGTAAGAATGTGTGTGTGTATGTGTGTATACAAGAGTTTTGTTAGACTAGTGACTCAACCATGGATGAGGACAGAGGAGGGGGGTGTCTTTACAGCAGCAGAGCTAAGCTTAGAGATCATGGATCATCTAGAAAGACTTTGGTCTCTGTAGACATGATGTTAACGTTTTTATTCAAGGACCAATCGTGCAATTCATCTCTTTAAAACTTGGCCGTATTTGGCGATCCCATTCACTCTGTGTACCTTTGGCATCTGCTGAAGGCTAATCCTGTTCCGGAACTTTTATTTGCTGATATATTTAAGCAGCACGGAACACTTTTTTTACAGTGAAGGAATTGGTTCCAATGTGCACAACGGATGAGCAGCCACCTCAGAACTCCGCTGTTAAAACAACATCACTTCATCCAGTCTGGTCACGAACCTCGCTGCAGAGCTTTGAAAAGGCGGTGTCTGTAAATTTGAAGTTGGCAGAACACACTCATGGTCCAAAGGCTGATACAAACTGTTGGCTGTCATGGAGATGAGCTGCTGTTGTGACACAGTTAATCCAACCAACTTTACCCATGTCACTCACACGTTCTGTGAAACGGCCTTCCCTGAAATTGCTTCACTTACTCACTTCACACAGTTTAATTGCATATTAATATGGAACCATGCTGACTAAAACTGGTCATTTTACTGATAAAATTGTAGTTAATTTTATCAATATAAACGATATGCTCTTGTTCTGTATCAGGTAAAAAAAATCTTTCCGAGTCTTGGCTTTTCTTAGTCTGCCAACGCGTTCTCATCAGAACGTCAACTTATTTCTTGACCTTTGTTCTGATGTGATGTCATAGCCATTCACAGCTGTTGTCATGTGGGAACTGAACTGAGTTGCCCGTCTTGAGTAAAAAAGCAGCGTCAGGCCTCCGCCCGTCGGCCTGTGTTGGAGCCACAGCTATAAAAATCACTCACAGTCCATTCACATTTGGATGGGAAACTTTACAACTCTGGGTTTTGTTGCATTCCTAAGTCAACACACATTTGGACCTTGAAGCTATTACGGTCATATACGCAACACAGGGCAGGTTTGTATTACCTAATGGGACATGATGATCTGCTGTAAACACTGGCTCTTCAGGATCAGCGTAGGGCAATAGACTGTGTGATTGGATTCGAATGAGAAATTGTGGCTTGCTGTTTGTTTTTAGTGTGTTGTTCATCTTTATGCTTCACTCACAGACTTTACAGAAGTGGTAAAGTCTAGAGCGACAACTCAGTGACACCCCGCCCCCGTGCTGTTGTCAGGCTTCTCGTTTGACCCCTCCCCCTCCCCCCCGTGCTGTTGTCAGGCTTCTCGTTTCTCCTCGTTTTTTTCTTCTTCTCTGTCATATATTTACTTACTGTAGATTCTGTACTTTCCGTCTCTCTGTCCCTCTGTCTTACCCCTCCCTGACTCTACCTCCATCCACGATGCCTGCTTCTTCCCTCTCCAATGACTTCCAGTGAAGGAAGGAAGCCTCTCCCTTCCCCCCCCCTCCCTCAGTGAACACATGTTCCTGCTGTGACCTCTGAGAAAAATAAAATAATGGGACTGGTTTGTGCCAGTACATCCAGCCTCAGTTGTGTGTCAAACGTGAAAAACCCCAGCGGCGTCGGCCGTTGTGATTGTTCTCTGTTTGGCGTCTGAGGCTGAGTTTGTCGTTATTCTGTCCACTTCCACAGTTGCTGCCGTTGAAATTCTGATTCATCCTTCCTGTTTGACGTTGTGGGGTTATTTGTTGACAGAAAGGAATTGCTCAAGTGTGACATCTGTTGCAGAAACGTAGATTCAGCAGTTGCTTTGTGCAATAAAAATCCAAATGAATCTGCGAGGTCACGCTGTTGTAATTAAAGAGTGGTGTCAAAAACCTGTGGCTTTTCTGAATTACAGTGTTATTGTGAAACTGAAACGTTCAGCCTACGTTGAGTTAACGGAACGTTGACTTCCGTGATCTTTACGGTGTCGTTCTTAAAGCTGTTTCAGTAGAGCTGAGTCGTACTGAAGCTTACAGTTAGGTGGCAGACAAATGAGCCTTTTCAGTTTAATACTTTTAATGTAAGTAGGGAAGAATAAAATTCAAAAAATACATATGTTTGCTCAAATGAAAATAATAAAATTAGCCAAAAGGTAAAATATAAATAAGGCAGAAAAAATATTAAAGTTATCTAAACTATCTAAACATTAGCTAAAACAAAGCTAAGCTAAAAAGCGTTTGCATACATGGTAACTCATAGTAATCCAGTGGTTCCATATTGTAGCGGTTAGCATGCCTGCCTTTGCAATCAGAGAGCAGAAAGTCTTGGGTTTGATTCCCAGAGGAACTACAAGTCCCTAATGGCACCTGTGAGTTGCAACTATACACTTAATGGCGCCTCCTGTGGCAGTCTAAGAATATGTTGGTTGCTAAGACTCACACTGTAAAGTTCTCCATTGTGGGACGAATGAGGGACTCAATTATTATTATTATTATTATTATTATTAAAGATAAAAAAAATCCCCTCTGAATATCCACTTCCTCTGTCTCCGCTCTTTCTCTTCCTCTCTCTCTTACACTTCTGCTGTGGTCCACCAGGCTCTTGTCCCTGATTGGACCCCCAGCGCAGGGTCAACACTTGAGCTAACGCTGAGGACAGCAGCTGTGAGACACTTTCCCATCATTAGTTGCTCAAATGTTCCTATTGTTTTGATTTGATATCGACACAGGAAGAGGAAGTGCATGTTTGTGTGTGTGTGTGATTTTGTGCAAGTGTGTGTGTGTGTGTGTTAGGACTAAATAGGCGTCAGGGGAGAGCTGCCTGTACGGCCCGTTTCCATGCGTCTACTCTTGTTTTTTAACTCTTAATTGTTCACTCTGGTAACTGGAGCACTGACTCCTCGACAGCCTGTTGTGTTGAACACAGGTGGTGAGCGATTGTGACTCAACAGTTAGTGAAGGGCCGCCTTTTCAAACACCGATTTTGAGCCACTTCTAACTTTAGAAACCTGAGGAGCCCATTTGGGTCAGAGGGAGGGGCCAGTCAGATGATAAGAACCAAAAATAAAACCGTGAATCAATTAGTAACAAAAAAGAAGAAAGAGCACTCTGATCATTTCGACATGTGGTGTCAGACCAATCTGATTTATCAGAGAGAAATTACTTTGTGTCTTTTTTGTGGGTTTTTTTCTGACTAAGCACACTGAAAAAATAGTGATTAAATGTGTTGGGTTTTTTTTTTTAACGTGTTATTTTCCCTGTAAGAACTTTACACTAATTAACGTGTTAAATCTCTCTCTAAAACTACAGGTCACCTAGTGCTGTTAGCATGTACCACACCACAGTGAATGGGCAGCCCACAGCCTGTGTCCTCACAGTGATAAAACAGTTCCAAAGTGCTTGTGTCTAAAGAAGAAAGTGAATGAGCTGATATATTGATCGGTTTTTATTCCAAACAAAGAAGAAGAAAGTCTAAAGTCTGAAAGCTGGTTTCTGTGGTTCTGACATTGGAATTTGTCTTTCTAATGAGACACATGACACTTAATGACATTTAAAAACCAAATATTGACTTTAGGGACAGATGAGCGGGCGTGGTCTTTTATAAACCCACAGCTATTGTTGAACACATGATTAAACAAAATTAGAAAAGCAAATTTAGTGAAAAACAAATACCGTGACCAAAGACAGATCATGTTGTTCCAATGGGAACAGTGTTGGTGTGGTTCTGTAGTTCCTCACCTGACCACACATCATCAGTATGGACTCAACAGTTTGTCCTTTGAACTAATTTTAACATCAATTTTTTAAAAATCTCATTACATTAATTCATACATACAAATTCATCAGGTCTAATGGATTATTTTTGACAGCCTATGTTTGTAGACAACAAAATAAAACATTTGAACATGTTGTCATTTTAATATTTCTCACTATTTCTTGAAGTGTGCGGAACCAAATTAGCTTTTTTATCTATCAGCTACCTATTGTCTGATTTATGGTGCAGCCTATAATGTTGATGGGCCCCATAATGAGAGTTTGGACAGCAGGTATGGCCCATAATGTGGACCATACCTGCTGTCCAAACTCTGTCTCCCCGGCTGTTTCTCTGTAGGCTGGATACCAATATATCAAATGTGGGTCATACAGAAGGGTTAAATAAGGTGATTTTTAGAAGTTAAAAAATACATCTGCCTTGACTAAGATTAAAACCATGTGCAGGTGAATTCCAGGCAGAATCTCCAGTTAAGTTAAAAAATACATCTGCCTTGATTAAGATTAAAACCACGTGCAGGTGAATTCCAGGCAGAATCTCCAGACTCTTGAATTTTTTTTTTTTAGTCTAATGTTGTTGAAACAACAACAATTTCCTTTGATTTGAATGTTAGGAATTACACACCTCCTCTCTTTCCTCTGCACGGCTCCTCAGTGAAGCTCGCTGCACACATTTTTACCGCAGAACGTTCACAGCACATCTGAGCCTTCCACAGGAAGGGGAGGAGCCGTGGATAGACGGGCATCTGGCCAGTCATAACACACACACACACATATACATACTGCAAATACATTACAGTCAGTGCAAGAAAATTCTTTGTGAGATGCCTAAGGCAGAGATGAGGGTTTGACACAATGTTGACCCTGTTCCTTCAGTTGAACCAGTTTTCTAAACCAGGGGTTATTACCGTCCTCATGTTTTAACCAGAAAGGTCATGTGTGTCTTTCAGTTGATGGTTTGGAGAAATCATCATCACTGGCCAGCTGTGACGTGGTCGTAGACAGTGCCACCAATACCCAGAATGCATCTGCACCGCGGCAACAGCAGAAGGGAAAACTCTCATCGTTAGGGAAACTGTTCAAACCCTGGAAGTGGAGAAAGAAGAAAACCAGCGACAAGTTCCAGGATCTTTCCAAAGGTACGATGCAAATGTGTGTCCGTTGCTGATGCTGAAAATAGAGCATGGTTTCTCTTCCTCCACACTGGCGACATCTTGTGGTAAGATATCTGTTGCTAGCTCACTTAGCCTCCAGTCTTATTTATTGGTCGTTTTTGTTGTCTGACATCATCAAGTCGTCGTCATAAAAATCATCACGTTATTGTTGATCATTCATCAGCAACCGTTAGCTTCTCTACTCTACTCTGCTGCGGCTGTGATGTTATGGAATACATGACGATGGTTCTGCCACATCACCAGCTCCACCACGACAGAACCGATTAGTTATGGGGGCTTTTTCAAGTGGGTCAAGTCAGACGACGGGCTTCATGAACGTTTGGGTCACGACCTCAAACTCAGGTCAACTGTGGATGATCAGTAGAGAACCGTCGATGTTGTTGACCGATCTCCAAACCTGTCGGTGTGAAGTTCCTGGGACTCAGGTTGACTTGATCCAAGTTCCTCGTCCGTCATCTTCACTCTCTTATTCTCAGAATGTCGTGATTGTTTTGAACCAACAAGAGGAACATCATGAAGTAGTTGAAAGATTGTCTTCTTTTAAATCCTAGCTTTTCTGTCCTTCAGTTCTAGAGAGAAAGATCTCCACCAGGCAAACGAGAGAGGAGCTCATCAAGAAAGGAGTTCTTATTGCCGACCAAGGTTTGTCTCACTATGTGCTTTTACTCATGTCGCTCCACATGTTTAACCACACCATCAGAACACAGACAGGTTGACCATATACCTGACCCACATGATGACCTAAAATTTAAACTCTTAAAGCCTCCACGGAGTAAACGTGACTAAAATGTGTGTGTGTGTTTTCTTCACTTCAGATGAACCAATCAGCAATCAAAACCTCAACGGCCACGCCACACCCAGTGTGACAACAGAGGAGGTCAAAGTTGACATAGAGTCTCCAGAAGTACAGCTGCAAAACCAGGCATCTGGTCCCGTCATCAGTGAAGAGAAACCAGGTAACCATCAAAACCAGTCTGTGGTTCACAAACCAGTCTGTGGTTTATAAACCAGTCTGTGGTTTATACCAATATCAACCAGGTGTCTTTTCACTGTGTTTGCAAAAAAAACTGCAAAGCAGGTTTTTTATTCGAACTTCAAGCCAAGCCAGACGGCCCCACACTGCATGTTTCTTGTTTGCAAAAAACACTGCAAAGCAGGTTTTTTATTCGAACTTCAAGCCAAGCCAGACGGACCCACACTGCATGTTTCTGGGGTCCTTAGGGCAGGTGGGGGCTGGGGGGTGGGGTCACCCACCCACCACCAGGTGTAGCCTCTTGTCCAGTCATTCAGTGCCACTGCAGTCACAGCAGCGCGATTTTGTAGCAATGTTACAAAACTGCTGACACCGCAGATCGTCTAAGTGGAGTCTGGTGACCTCCTGTTTGACCTCTGCCCAAATGAAACTGGAAAGTTGGAAGTTCCAAATGTGAAACTTCATTAAAAATGCTGCTATTTTTGATTCTTTAACGTTTTTTCCTCTCAGTCCTGGAATGCCTTCCTATCAGCAGCTGCTTTCTGCCTGACACTGAATCCTCAGCGGGGTCTCTAATGCGTTTAGATAGACGTTCCCATTACTGAGGCTGCAGTGGGTATTTTCAGCCTGAGCAGGGCAGCGTCTCCGTCTCCTAATGCCGACACCTCCCCTCCCTCGGGCCACTGCTCTTCCCTCTGATGCTATCCTAAGTGTTGCTGGGGTTTTTTTTTTGTTTCATCTCAACCCTGTTAGTATTGAACTCAGCCATTTGTTTGTTCATTTAAAAAAAAAAAAAAAAACAACCCAAGGCTTGAACAGTCAAGAGACTAACTCTGCTAATGCAGCAGCTGAACATAGACACTGGAGGTTTAATGGCTGAGTTCTATCTGTGGATCTGTGCAGACGGCTGCACAGGACCGCAGCTCTCACAGCTGCTGCTCGTCATTAGCTCTTTTAATGCACTCTTCATCATTAACCATCTCTTCCGTTTCGCTTTGCCCGCCCGCCTGTCGATTGGTGCGTCTTTGACCTCTGTGCTCCACATTAAACCTCACCCTCATCTGCTCTCACTCTGCTTCCTCTGCTCCGCTCAGACAAGAGCGATACTAAAAGCCCCGCCCGAACAAACCAGGTCCGACCTCCAGAAGCTCAAGCTAAAAAAGCCCAAAGTGCCACCGTGCCTGCATCGTCCAAACCTTCAGGTGGCGCCGGAGCCACAAACAGGCACAGAGACGGTGCCTCTGGGACTAAAAAGACAACCAAAAGCACATGCAAGACAGGCTCAGCCTCCACTCAGCCCAAAGCTAACCCGCGGGGCGCTAACAACACTAGTCGTGTGACTGGTAAGTTAGCGCTGCCTGTTGACACTGCAGCCTGTGTGCTTACACCCCCCCCTCCACGTCTGCCCCCCCTCACCTCCACCCAGCCCTGCATGGAAAGTGTTCTCCTTTATCAGTTTGAAGAGGGAAACGGCCTTGTTAAAAAGCTGTCTGTGTGTGTGCAGTTCATTATGTTTTAAAAGTGTTTTCTTTGACTTCAGTTTTGGTCTTTTTTTTTTTTTTGTTTTTTCTTGGTCGAGTCTGTGTCTGTTTTGTCACGGAGCCAAACGGAGGATTTATTCACTCTGTTCTGTTAATGATCCAACCTTCCACTGTGTCTTTGTGTGTGTGTCTGTGTGTGTGTGCTGTTGTTGGACTTGATATCATACATCAGGGGTGTCAAATTCACAAAACTAAAAACTGGCACGAAGTCTCGGGCCAAACTTAATATTCACTGAAAATTTTACAGGAGTTGTTCATGTTTTCTCTTCTCTCCAGATCTGTAATGTAGAATTTTTTCATTAGGAAACAAACCTTGGTTCTGCACAAACATTGAATCTGGAACAACTAAAGATTAATAATAAAAACACACGAGAAATTAAATTTAAATTTAATAAATAAAATAAAATAAAACACTCTTATGTCTGTTTATCTGTAGCCTTTCCAGTTCCTTTTTAAAAAAAACAAACAAAATGTATGTGCGGTACATACAGTACACTGCTAATACTACAACTTCTGCCAGTATATCCAGTACACATTTGATATGATCTTACGGGCCAAATATTTTGAAACTGCGGCCCAGATTTGGCCCCCAGGCCTGAGTTTGACACATGTTCTACATGATGGTGAGTGAAACTCAAGAGCTTTTGTTAACAGTTAGGGTTGTTAGGAAATATTGATACACTGAAAATATCGCAGTATTCCGTTTCACGATACCGTATCAATACAGTGGAGCCTCCTGGTGGTCGAACGCCTCCCGTTTCCAACACTTTCGACTGGACTGAAATCTAGGAAGAACCACGTCCCACAGGTTCCACCGGACCTCGTCCAGATGAACAGTCAGGACTGAAATAAACCGACTCTGTGAAGAGACGTTTTCACTCTGACTGTTGGACATTTGTCCAGATTAATAATCCCATCATTTGGATTAGTCACATGTTTGTTTTCTTTTCAGCCAAATCTTCCCATCCAAAGAAGACGGGAGGAACATCCAAAACCTCCTCCTCCTCCTCTAACCCTCGCTCTCGACCGTCTAAAGATGCAGCAGCCACAGCACAGACTGACAGGACAGAAGCAAAGACCAATCGCAAAGCGAGCAGCAATTCCTCTATGTTCCACAAGTCCACAGCACAGACCTCCGGTCGGTCTGCGGGGTCTAAACCCTCACACCCGTCTACAGACGCCAAGGCAGCTTCATCTAAAACCCCCGCTC